GCAGAAGAAATCGGCAGCAGAGCTGCTGCAAGGAGGCACGACGTCGACGAGTCTTGTATTTGCAACTGCCAAAAGAAAAAGGCCTCTCTCTAAGGTGCACCCAAGGAGAAGCGAGCATTTTGCGGCCCGAAGACTGGTGCATACCCCCTTCTTGAGACGCAGCTAGTCATATTTTTTTAGAAGTGGAGGAGTTGCGGTCACACTGCGTCAACGGAGATCAGACGGAAACGCTGAGGCTGGCCCGCGAGATGAACATCTCAAGCGAGTTTCGTGCGAGCTGTGGATGGCTCCAGCGATTCATGGCCAGGCACGAATTTTCGATGCGGCGGTGAATGACTATGTGTCAGTGGCTTCCCAACACCTACGAGAATAAGCTGTTGAGCTATCACTGTTACGTCATCTGGCTGCGCAAGGAGCACAACTACTTGCTCTCAGGTGGGAAATGCTGATCAAACGCCCGTGTACTTCGAGATGCCCATGGACACCACTCTGCAGAAAAAGGGCTCGAAATCTGTAAGCCTACTGATGGGTGGAAACACCAACCTACGCTGCACAGTAATGTGCGTTTCGGTGGACGGTGCCTAACTGCGCTCGTACGTAATCTTGAAGCGCAAAAGGCTACCCAGCACTCCACTGCCACCAGGGATTGTTGTGCGAACCGAAGATAGTACGTAGATGAATGGTGAACCTCGTCTGTGCCTGGCTTCGCACGATCTGGGAGAATAGGCCAGGTGCCATGTTTGGCTTGGCAGTTGATGCTCTGTTGGACTAGTTTCGAGGCCACTGCACTGACGCAGTGAAAGCGTGCCTCGCTGACCACCGCACCGACCTCGTGATCATACTCGGTGGCATGACTAGAGCGACCTAGAATAGGTCACTCTTGGCATGACTTACATGCTACAGCCACTAAACGTGTGCCTCAATAAGACGTTCAAGGCGCACACAAAGCTGCTGTATGCAGAGTGGATGGCCGACTGCCGTTACGCCATGACACCGACTGGGTGCGTGCTGAGGCCAGACATTGCGCTACTGTGCCAGTGGATCGTGGAGGCGTTGGAAGCGATTCCGGCAGACATGATGCGCAAGAGCTTCAAAAAGTGCACCATAAGCAATTGCTTGGATGGCACCGAAAACGATTGCGTCTTCGAGAGCGGCGACGAAGCCTCAGATGGCAGTGGCGAGTAGGGTGATGATTGAAGGAACGGGAATCAGCACCGTCAACATTGCGGCAATCACTTCGAAATAAAGTTATTTTGTAATTGATATTGTGATGTGCTGTGCAGTTGTGACTTCCCAAAACAGTTTGTTTTAAGCTAAGCATGCGTGTTATACGCGAGGATTTTTAATTTTTGGGTGGGGGGGGGGGGGGGGTTCAAAGTTAGGGGTGTGGGTTATGTGCGAGAAAATATGGTACTTTGTTTGACAAGCCACACATGCTTTCCTTAAACATTGACGTGTCCGATGGCTTTATCAATGGAGGGGTGCATTTACTGAAGCACATACAGTTGGATGAAAGGGACATTCCAAAATGTCTCTGGTTTCATTTTCACTTTGAAGAAGCAACAGAAAAAATTGCTCGCATCAAGTCCAGGACTATTCGGGAAGTTCCTGGCCCTGTCGTGCCTGTGAATTTCGTTCCCATCAAAATGCGCACCAACATCTCTTTAGACGGACAAACTCAACTCATTGCCTCAGATGAGTTGTGGCGTTTGCGCCATTAGAACATCACATGGCTTTATCGTTACAACAATGTACATCTCACCAGGAACCTTGCAGACTGATGTCATGACTTCTTGCTACACGACTTCCGTGCTGTGTGCCTACGTGATGAGCCGGTGATAGTCAATGGAGACGTCAACACATTAACGTACTTCGATGTCAAAACCAGTTGCTTGTCACGTTTCTCGATGCCGAACTTGGACTTTACCTCCTGTCGGATGTCACGCAGTCAACCATTCACAACAACACCTGTTTAGATACTGTCGTTACTATTACTGTGATTCAAGCGCAATCGACCATGCTCACAACATTTCGTATGGTTTCTAAACCTCCTAGCCTTACTTCGCATAACAGCCCCGTGTATTGTTATCGCATTCATTGCTTTGGCCTTGTGCCAAAACTGTCACTTTTTTTTCTTGGTAAAAAAAGAAGAAAAGAAAAGAAGAAGAGGAGGACTGGAAAAATGTTCGTTTGGATAGTGAATTTTCGGAAAAGTTTGTCATTGTCACTGAGCATTGGCAGTGTTAGCCTACGTAGAACAGCCCAAATCATGTGCATGTGCATAGTAATTATAGAGATGTCTCTCTGTCATTAGTTTTTGCTCTACTGTAAATGTAGCACACGTGTTGCACATGTTCCACGTGGCCTGGTACCTGTGTCTTTGCACTCGAATGCTGCCCAGAAAGCTCCTTTTCACTGCTTGTAGGTTATCATCACTCAAAGCCCCATTTCTGTATGCTGCAGTTTGCCGAAAAACGTGATCTTATGGTACGCATTTGCGACTGAAAGGCTGTGCCTGTTTTCTAGAGTAGCTGCCAAACCTTGTGAGGTGCAGAAATATTTCGGTAGGGGGTGATCAACGTAGTCGACTGAAACTAAAAAGACTGCTTTCGCATTTGAATCGCCTAAGACAAATGCATAAGAGACCCTCTGAGTTTTATTGGGATCGAAATTTTGCATACTCGCGGCACACTTGCCGTGCTTTTGCGAATGCGATGGCGCACTTGTCAGAGACTGATTTATTTGTGCACATGGTACTGGAGATCTTTTCATTTCAGTTTCGGAGCTGTAGTCTTGTGGTGTGGTAAACGAAGCTGCAATGTAGTACAGTAGTGAAAAGCGGTCACAAAAAAATGTTTGCACTTGGAGCACTCATAGGGCCAGTGTCAGTGAATGGCCATTGTGAAAATTGAAGCACAGCTCTATTTCTTTTTTTTTTTTTTTCAAGTTTTGCTGACAGTCATTTTACAGCACACAGCCTAATGCAAGTGCCATTAACACGCGGCCCACAGGCTCGCGCGAAATGAAGTTTTGTGACTTTACTAAATTGTACTTGAATTCACTTGTCGCCTTCAGCAGTTACATTGCTTTGTTTGAGTAAGCTATACAGACTGAGCTGGTATCTAGAATTTTTTATACCAAGTATGATTTCAAGTATGCAATTAAGGTGTTTTTTTTTGTAAAAAATTGAATTCCACCGTAAGCTAAACAAATAAAATGCATTTGTTTGCTACCAACAGTACATTCAAGCGTGCCCCAACAATTTTTGCTAGCGTGTTCATGTTGCTAAATACCTCAAATCTATATTGCAGTTAAAACGTCAGTATTCAGGAGTAACATTTATATTTGGCTCCTCTAGATTTGAACATTTTATTTCGGCTTGAGTTGGCTGTGTTGTTAGAGAAGTCTAAATGACTATGAATTGATGACATTACAATACTTTGCAATAAAATTAATATTATCTGTGTGTGTTTTTTTGTGCAGTCTTATGCAGCATCAGCATAAGGGCGGTGACTAGATTTGTATGGTTGGTGGTGCCTCCTGGTGACAGGTGTGCTCTTTGGGATAGTTGGCAGCATTTTCTTGTCTATGGCATTTATGGAAGGCTTGTCTTGGAAAAATAAATGAAGAAAATGATTCAGCTCTTCTTTGTCTTAGCTTCTTAGCTGGTTACATGGCACACCATTTGGGAAAACTGCTTTGTATTGCAATAATATGGAATGAGTTCTGCAGACTGTATGTAGTAATACAAGAATGGATGCTTAAACCCATTTGTGCAAATGTTATGTTATACTGAACATTCATTATTGAAGTCCCTGTGTCATATAAACTCACTTGCAAATGTTCATCATTCTTCAACTTTTGGACGCGATTCTCGCGGTGTTCAGTTCGTTGACATGTCCACTTCGGCAGAGCGCATTTAGTTACGAAAAAAAAAGTCGTGACGTCGTGGTGCTCTTCATCATGTCGGGGCACATAACTCATCAGCACATTTTTTTCAGCGTAAAAAGAATAAGTAGACGAAATGTACAGCAATAGGACTCCTATACTTGACAAATCTGAACGTGCATACGAAAGTGTTGAGATGTTTGCATAGCGATGCAGGGAATGCAAAACGACCGTCCGGCGGCATCAGGCAGGCAGCCGCGTTAAACCTAATTTAAGGGCTAACGTGATCAGAGTTCATGCACGGCCTCAGAGATGTGCGTCGAAAAGCGGACCTCTGGGGGCAGCATTCGTTTTGGCGAAACACATTCCGTCTTTCTCATTTGTGTTGAGAGTTGTAACAGCTGCATGGCATCAAATTGACATTGCAGAAGAAATATTGGAAACAGGCGGTGCGCTGCTCACTAGCTCCAGCCGATCAGTGGAGGCTGAAGTGGATATAACCGGTAATTAGACATCACAAGAAAAGCTCCCCGAATGAGTTTAGCCCTTCCATTCTTACATTACTACATAATGTACTCATTTTATCTTGATATACTGATTCACTTTGTAACTCCCTCAGTTTAGGGAAAATATTTGGTCACAAAAAAATGCGTGAAATGTCTTGATACTTATTTAGAAAACTACATAAATATTGTACTAAGGAAACAGTTTCCGATTTGAAACAGAGATACATAATGGCGAGTTTCATTGAAATTGAGCCAGAATTAAAAAAAAGTTTTATGGAGTAGGGTTGCTGAACCCTTAATTGCTGAACCTGTACTTCATAAAAATAGCGTACATATTGACTTTAATGAACACCGAATATATTGAGCGATAATTTTTGTGTTTTTATTATGTTGTGTTGCAGTTTGATCGTAGTTACACTCACTGGCAACAATTCATGTTGGTAAAACTTTCTTTGCTGATTACTTTGATGACAGACATGCGATGGTGTAACCAAAATTTATGGTAATTTTGCCAGGTTCATCCAAGAACATTACATTTTATCTTTGTTAGACTTTTAATTTGCTTTGCATTTTTAAAAATAAACAATTCTGTGATTTCCTTGGCAGGATTGATGACATCGAAATCGAGGAGGACGAAGATGAAGAGAAGGTGATTGAACGGCAACGACAGCAACGGCAGGAACTGCTTAAGGTGTGGTTGGCATTAGTTTATAAAGCTCTGCCTAACATCCTTGATATAGATTGTGTCATTATTGCAGGGCTTTTGTTTGCAACTTTGTAGAATCTTTATGGGGCCCATTTGTATGGGATAGTATAGGGTACTTTACGAGGAGTTAAAAGTTTTAAAGGTATCATGCAGGGCGTGCAGCACAATTTTAACCTTTTATTCAGATCAGTGCTTTGAATGGCAGATATTATTTGGACAAAAAAAAAAGGCATAATCAGTAAATTGCCAGACTTTCACTTATTTAAGTTAAGTTATTGCTACTTGGTGAATGTTGCAATACAAATTTTGTCTCTTGAGGGCATATTCACATGGAAAAAATTTTGTAAATGCCTGCAGTTTTGAGATTTGTTTTTGAAATATATCTTACTATATATTTGGATTCTCATCACTTTTGTGCATACCTTAATAAAGCTTAATATAGTGCTTTGTTTGAAGAATGCATGTTCACCAACAGCACGTTTTTCTATGAGGTAATTGTGCACTTACCTTACAATGGCTGCCACCATCGAAATACACTGATACAGTTAAACCTCGATATACCGAAAGTAAGTCATGATATTGTCACTCTAATGCAGCACTTAATTTTTTTAACCTCATTTCTGTAGATCACCATGCATCAATATAATAGAACATGTTTATTTGTAATTTTTATGTGGCAGAATCTTGGTGATATCATTTTAGCTGATATGAATTTTGGTTTAATGGGAATTCATTAAATTCTCTGGCTGAATTTTGTTGTATCCAGTGGGCTAATGTTTAGATGTTCCATACACACATCTTCATTGTGACGGGCGATACGAATTTAGGTACCAAAACTGTTGAGGGACGACTGGCACAAGCATCCTCCGGAAGCATGTGCGGCCTGTTCACAGAGTTGATGTGCTTATCGTATGCTACAATTGCTGTGGATGAACTTGGGGTCACTTTCAACATACCGTAAAAACTGGAATATAGGTCGAATTAAAAAAAAAACGCAATGAAAAGTCAACCCTCGTCTTATATATACCGGTCATTGGCAGAAAAAAAAGTGGAAGTCTTGCAACAATGGACTGCTGAAGTCGAAAGCCTTCACTGCTATCGTTAGCATCAGCAGCGGCGCCATTGGGCAAGGCTAGGCAAGACCTACGGTGTTCTAGCAACATCATTTTGCCTTGGTTATCTGCTGTCTGTCTGCTGTTTTCTTTTTCCATTTCCTTAAAAAATGAGTGGTAGTTGATGACAGCTTACAATAGGTTTTAATAAAAAAGTAATCGAGTATGCTGAAGGGCACAACAGGAATTTGGTGCATCAGAGAAAAGTGTCTGATACTGGCGGAGCCAAAAGCAGCACATCACATCCTGCAGCAGCGGGAAAAAAAACGTTTATAGACGGACTGCAGTGCACCTCGAACTGGAAACGCTACTCGCCGAATTCGTCCGGGAGCTGCATGCGAGGTCGCAACCCATAACAGCGGAGTGCATCCGCGTGAAAGCTCTCGAGATAGCGCATGACTCTGGGCTCACAAGGGTGCAATTCAAGGTATCTCCATCGTGGGTGCGCTGATTTTTGAAGCGGAACGGTTTCGCGCTGAGGCAGCATACTTTCGTCTTTCCACAAATGCTGCATCAGTAACGCATTGGATGGAACGGAGGACGATGCACTCTCGGAAGTTACTAGTGAAAAACAGACGTCGTCGGACTCAAGTTCGGACGAGTCTGAGTGACAGCACTTTGTGACCCTCTGTCGTTTAACTACATAAGATTAGTGTCCAAACAAAAGGAAATGTCACCACAGTGCAGCTGATTGTATCATGTATTTACCAAGGTAACAGTACGCCGCAATGCTTTGCGTTTTTTTTAAATTTATTTTTCGAAGATTTAAAGTTTGGGGGGGGGGGGGGTCGACCTATATTCTGGTTTTTATGGTAGTCGTGTATGGTGACGACAAAAAAATACATGTGCATGCAATGCTCACAGAGTCAAAGCGATGCTGCTTGTCGCTACCACCTTGGACAAAACTGCGATAAACGTGATCATTGCGACAATGCAGTTCTGAAGGAGTCTGAGTGGCCAGCACCCAGGGCCTGAAAAGGAACTACTATTTGCCGCAACTGTTGCTTATGAAACTGTGGTCGCTATCAATGCAATCATGTATTGTGATGACGAAACTCATAGGACATGTGCATCTAGTGCTCAGTGAGTCAAAGCGATGTTGCTTGCCGAAACCACTGCAGACAAACCCATGGTAGCCACTATCATAACAGTGCAGTTCTAAGGCACTTAGGCCAGTGCACACGGATTGAAAACGGAACTTACGCTTTCTGCAACTGCTACCCGTGAAACTGCGTTCGCTAATGGCATGGCTATCGATGACGGCTACAGTTGAACCCACTTATAATGATCCCAGAAATAACGATCTATCCGTTTTAACGACCATATTTCGGTGCACTTCGATTTTTCTATCTTACCCTTTGAGACTGTGTCCGTATATAACGAACATTTTTAAAGCCTCCTTCTTTTATAACGAACACTTCAGGCACGGTCCCGGTAAAGGTACAGCACATACGAAGCGAGAAAAAAAGTTAGAACAGGCCTTCTAAAGCTGAGAGAGGTGCACGATTGCATGTGCCCTGCTCTGGTTTATTTGCAGTGAAGATATTAGAGATCCGTGAGCACCGCATGCAAATTTCTGATGCGTCAAGCAAGGGCACTCACTTTTCAGGTCTTTCTTCAGCGGCAGAATGTGCTTGAAAAAAAAAGTAGATGACAGCAGGATTTTGCGGTCAGCCTTCGCGCGACAATCTAACACCATTCGCTCGAACTAGGATGTTATCGGCAGCCATTACTGCCTACGATGAACCAAACAATGCCTTGGAATGTAAGAAGCCGTAAATGCAACAAGTGGTAGCCGCGAGTACTTTTCATCGCATAAATATTCACTACCTCCCCCAACTCATCGATGCCACAATCTGCTGCAACAGTCTTTGCAGCAACGGCGTAGACAGGTTGATCAATTCACGACTGCGCGACTGTGGTGATGCCTTCACAGATAAGCAAAGAGTGTAGGCAAGGCGGCTGGTGATGGACGTGTCACGATGACTTATCGCTGACAACGTTATCAAAAATACCAGCAGCTATCTCAGCTCAGCTCAGCTGCGCATGTGGCTGTGCGGATTGACAGCGACACCAGTGCGCAATGCTGCTGTTAAGTGCACATTGTTCTGCATAGAAGCGAAAGTAGCTTGCTGGATTACAGCGTGGCGGTCACCGATAAATGTTGATGTACTGACAGCAAGCGTATACCGCTTGTTTTATTAGGTGACACAAGTGCCCGTTGCTTGGAAAATGCTTGTCTTCGCCACGAGAACAAACAGGCCAGCCGCCGCCAACGTGCACTGTCTGGTGTGAAGGAGGCACGAAAAACGCACAAATTCGTACCAACGGTGTACAGCAATGTCAACAAACGGCCCGGCAGTGACAGCGTGAGCAGAGTAGGTGATGCGCTGCATGCAACTAGCTAGTGGTCATCGGCTACATGCAGCGGTACTGCAGTTAAATGAAACAGTGTCAGTTCATCGTAAAGGCGATGTAATTGACTCCTAAGCATGCAGTGGGGGCCACTTCAAGCCACGAAAAGTCTTAATAATTGTTACCAAAGCGGTTGTTAGCACAATAATGAAAATGCAAAGAACAAAAAAAAACTACTTGGACGCTGAATGCACGTTTTTAAGGATGAGTTCATATACAGTGAACTACTGATAAAATGACCACTTCTCATGGCACTTTCAAGTTATTTCTAAATGGGTTAGGCTGTATACGCAGCTTTGTAGGTATGTGGCTAACACAGTGGTAGATCAAAGGATGAGGTTGAAAAAGGCACAAAGCATTGTGGTTTTTGCGTTGTTCGGTTATGAATATGGTGGAGTGGATTTCAGAACTTTTCAGTTGGTCTCAGTAACGCTTTGATGCACCAATTACTAATGAAGTTTTGCTGTTGCACAAAGGAAGAGCGAGGAAATAAATTGAAACAGGACTACAGTGATTCAATGGTTGAATTACATGTGACTGTTTGTGTATGCAGCTATCACGTCATGCACCATTGGAAACACCGGCAGCATTTTCAATGGTTTTGAATATTTGAAGAAACTCGATAATATTCAATGTTTTCAAAGACTCGATCGCATGTGTGACTGTAAAGAACTTCCGATTTTGCGCCTTAACGATAAGTGCATCAACAGTAGACAGTAGACCGTGACTTCGGAAGTGCAATGATGGCTGCGCGGAAATGCACGGGAGTGTTATGACTGCTACGGACGAACATGCCGGCACATCATCGCGAAAAATCTACAAACGATAAACATCTTAAAGAATTTTGATCATGAACTGCCTTTTCGGCCGTACGTGTGGCTTAGTGGTTTAGCGCTGTTACTGCTCATGTAAGTGTATACCGAATGCGTGCTGTTCGCTGCCGCACCCTTGTGCGTGGAACCGTTTTAGTGAAATGCGCATCACTTGTGGAAATCAAGGCAACTCGCTGCTGTTGCATCGGCCCGACAAAATGCTTATCGCACCTTTGCACATTCTGGAGTTGATTGAGCACGAAGAAAAACGTCGCTGCGCTAGGGCGAATGCACGTGTACATTACAGCGAGCAGTGCTGATGCAGTGAGCTTATAGCTTAGTAGGCGACGCACTGCATACAACTAGCTAGGGACACTGAGCTTGACGATGCCGCAGATAACTCGTATCATGCGTAGCTGTTCTGGTTTTCACTAATGGATCGCCACATAAACTTAGGCGCACGCGTCGATGAAAGCCTCACATGTCAGTCAGCTGTGCCACTCTGTCATTATCATCATCATCATCAGCCTGACTACGTCCACTGCAGGACAAAGGCCTCTCCCATGTTTCGCCAGTTAACCCGGTCCTGTGCTTGCTGCTGCCAATATAAATTGGCCACTCTGTCAGCGTATATTAACTCCCGGTCCAATAGTTCTGAAATGATTTGATGGTAGCGCCCGATCATGCGAATGAGCCGAAGAGTTTGCGTAATGGCAAATTTAGAAAACGCCGTGCACTTTCGGTAAGGTTAAAATGGTGCCATCACATATATTTCTGTGTTGCTAATGGCGGCACACATAAATGGTTACCGGAATGGAGACCGTTCCTGCTTAGTTACGCTGCGCATTAGCTAAAATACCTTTAGGAATTCATCTTGTTCGCTCATCACACTCGCGCGACAGCGTCTTCTGCAATCAATCCTTCGTAACTTCGTTGCTGCGATCTCGCTGTTTTGCCTATGTCAGTTTACTTCCATCAGCAGCCTCTGCGCCGACAGCGGTCGCAATGCGGCAAAATAATGCCTTCGACACCGGTAGTTCTGACTTCGTTAAAAAGGCATACTTGAGGAGCCTTTCTCTCACAGAACAGTCATCATCTATCTCGCGTGCCTTCCTTGTGTAATGACCATGCGCTCGTTACTCCTTGGTCAAGATCGTGTGGCTATCGGCATGACAGAGCACTCTTGTAGGAAAATGGCGAGCACGTACTTTTCGAGAATGGAAGCAAGAGCGAGCCAGTTAAGAAGTATTGCTGTGTAGTTACAATAGGCCGCAAGTATTCTTGTTTGCCTTATTTGTTGACCAGTGAGAATAGGGGTGATAAAATCTGAGTGCCAAAACGGATAGTGTGGTAACCTGGATAAACTGGTATCCTAGGGCACTTGAATAATCATTTAGATGCGAGTACAAGGGCGGTGACTCTTACATTTCACCTCATCGGAATACAGCTGGCAGGAATGAAACCACTGGCCTTGTACTTACTAATCATCATGGCAGCTGGTACAAAAGCTTTTCTTTTTTCAATAAAGTGCAACCACTTTACACAAAAAATGTTTTTTGACATGAGAATTTAACCCAAAACATCACAGTCAGAAGCTCAACTCTTTAGCACAGTGATATGCTTTTGTGCAATAACAGACTAAAATAGCTAAAAAGTGTACTATTTTCAACAAAATGTATGGTAAAGTAAAATATTACTGCTGAAAAAAAAATCTGATTTCTTGTTTATTTGATGTTCGGTTCGTATTTGAAGTGATGTATTTGTATTCAGTTCAAATTATAAAATTTTTATATTCCCATACCTCTTAGTTTACCTCATTAAAACAAGGTGCCATATGCATGAATTTCTGTGATTTCAAGGAATCTTATTTATATTTTGTTTACCTATTGTTTCTTAAAGCCTGCTTCATTATACCAACATTCTAGTCTATATGTATAACTTGAGATAATGTTGAAGACATTTCTTCATTTGTGTTAATGAACACTGACAGCATTGACCATTTCCATGTCATTTTTTCCAGAGATTGGGCATTGAGAACCAAGTTGAAAGCAGTGGATTTTCATCTCCAGTGCCTTCACGTGGTAGTGGGACCCACACTCCAGATTCTGTGAACATTGATGACATGGTGAGGATTATTATGTGTGTGGCATTATATATATATATAAGTGTATACTTACATATATAAGTAATACTTATATATATATATATATATATATATATATATATATATATATATATATATATATATATATATATATATATAAAGTGTATCTGTGTTTTGATACATTGACACAATATTAATGAGATCTAACAGACAATAATGCTAAGAAAAGTATAGGGGAAGTTAATAGACCGAATTGTTAAGTACATGTGAATAAAGAAAAGTGGGTGAAAAGATAACTTGCCGTGGACAGGAACCGAACCTGCAGCTTTCGACTAACGCGTTCGATGCTTTACCACTGAGCTACCACGGCAGCCATCCCCTCAGCCACTTTATTGGGTATATATGTGAATTTAAACGTGGGTGTGTCAGCCAGCGCCCTCAGTAGCCATGGCGGCGAGTGTGGCACACTTTTTATGAGCCTGTGTGGCGTCACGTAGCACATGAACTTATTACGAGCTGGCAGCTGACTAATAGTATACAACCAATAGTCCCTTGTAGTCCCTCGTATACAAGGCACCAAGTCTGCCAGTACGAGACCCTCATTAATGAATAAGGGAAAGAAGTGTATACTTAAGGGCTCATTTTTTCATGTTTTGACACAGTATTAATGAGATCTAACAGACAATAATGCTAAGAAAAGTATAGGGGAAGTTAATAGACCGAATCGTAAAGTACATGTGAAGAAAGAAAAGTGGGTGAAAAGGTAACTTGCCGTGGGCAGGAACCGAACCTGTGACCATATATATGTACATATATATATATATATATATATATGTCAAATGGTGAGCGCATGTGACACATCGTGTTGCCCCTAGCTTAACTGTTGAAAAATTAATTTGTCATTTGAAACTGTGGTTGTAATGGTACTAAAGGCTGCTTGTAATTGGTGTCAAGATGTGCAAACTGCCCTCCTATAGCCGTCATCTTGCTATGGTTGTGGCACTGGCCGGGCTGGATCTGACTGGATTGTTTCAAATGGAGTCTTAGTTTATCTCATATTGGATTGCACCACTGAGGAATTTTTCAGAATTTTTTAACAAGAAAAAGTGCACATACTAGCATTAAATACAGTAATAGCTCATTGTGAGCTACTCTTTTTGTGTGAACTCTTGCTGGTGCGGATAACATATTGGCGATTTTGATAAGGGATGACATGTCCTTGAAGCATTCACTGTACGTTTCTGACCTTAGAGTCATTGCTACTGTCATCATTGCAGTCAAGTGCCTGTATGATGACCACACATTTTTTAATTGTTCAGCATCTAAATATGACAATATTGATCCAAGAAAAATGCATGAGTGTCAGCTGTAAGTTTAATTTGAGGTGAAATCACTGAAAGTCAAGTTAACTGGAGCTCAAGTAATAAAAGATCAGTATTATTTATGTATAACTTTTTGTGGGGCCTCTTGCACTCAAGATGCTAAGGGCACAGTATACAGTAGTCAGTGATTCCACTCCTGCCCCAACGGCGGCAAAGTGCACCAAATCAGATTTAATGCGCTGTCCTGATAATATCAACAGAAATTATGCCAAACTGCACTAAAGTCGGATTTGGGAGCGTCTACCACCGGCAATAGCCGCACTAACTCATCAAAACATGTGTACGTTTTTCTTGGGGCCATTAAAGTCACAATTACAGACCTAGAATTATTCCGCTTGATAAAAAGTGGTCACGCGTGCATCCCAAGTAATCCACGATGCTATGTTTGGACGCCGTAATGATACTAAACATGGTCATGCTGCATGTTAGACCCTTGTGACCTAACTACAAGGATCAACAGAAGCTTGTAGCTAACGTGAGATAGAAGCCGCGGCCAACAACAGTGTCGACAGGCACGTGCTACACTGCTCTACAGGTTTTCTCGCTCACTTTAAAAGCCTAAATAATCCGCATGGCATAGAAATAATCTGAGAGCCAAGCTATTTAATCCAAGTGCCCACTCAATTAGGCCGTGTGCCAGTGAGTTTAATCCAAGTGCCACCATACTTAATTCAATTGTCAATGGCTTTAATTCAGGTGCTAGTTGGTTTAATTTATGCACAAAAAGCAGAATACAGGGCATAAAAATGGCAGTACAATTAAAATTTAGTTCCTACAATATATCAAATAATTGTCGCTGAGTAGAACCAATCATTATATTTTGTATTCACCGCTAGTATTTGTGAAAAAAAAATTACTGGCATTGTTCGCTTGAGCCGTGTTTGTACTTTGCTATGTACATGTTTGTAGATGAGTGCTTTGCCTGGGTGAAATCATTTTAATGGCAATGAAAGAAACAGCAGAAACATGCTAACAAATATTTTGTGTTCATCACTGGAGCTCATAAATGGATTTGTATAGCATTACATGACCGGGACAGGTAATGTAGTGCGAAGGACAGACTATGGTTATTGGAGTGCCGGAATGCATACCAAGATATGGAAAACCTGGCAGTGGGCAGAGATGGGTAAAAAGCAAATAAGTAATCAAGAAATTAAGAGGCCCTCCCAGGGCAGAGCGAATCGGAAATAATTTGAAGTTTTTCGTCCTGCAGTGCACATAAGTCATGATCCTGATGTGGACGACTAAAGTCATATTTTACATTCATATTAGCTGTTCTCTTTTTATTCAAACAAAATTATGGGTATCCGATGAAACACACGTGTTCCAAGCAGACATGCTTCAGCAACATCAGCATCATCTGTTAAATGATACCAGGAGTATCTCTTTTGATGATTTTTTTAAAAACTTAATTTCACATAAGTTCAAATAAATGCAACTTTAGTCTTTTAAATGGTTATTTTTGATTTCAAGAACCGATGAATATCATCTATCGGTCACCATCGTTTTCACAGGGCTGAGCAGACGACTGCAAACGCCTCAGCGAATAAGCAGCCAAATGCCATCTGCTGAGCAGATGACATGAGTCTCTGCATATGTGATGGTGTAGATGATTAGCCGGAATAAAGCAGTAGCGATGAAGCATAGACTAATATGGACTCTGTCAGCAAATACATTTTGTACACATAAGTACAATTAATTCTCTCTGTTTTTTTAATTGGAAGCTATGACACTAAAACGTTATAGCACTGCACTTCTTACTGTTACTTCATGTTCTTCCTGTGACTTCATGTTTACACTTTTCCGACATTTAGAATTTATAAAGTGGCAAACAATGTGTATTTAAGGCAGGGATTAAACTGATTGGCACCTGAATAAAAGCCATTGGCAATTGGATTAAACCTTTTTTTTTGTTCAGACCAGTCCAGACAGCCGCTGGCTCGCACAGAAACTAATTGTCTCTTCTGTATCTGCAGTACAACGTTATCTACCGGTACTGGTTCAGCGCATCGGTGTTGACTGCTATCTGAGCTTTTCAAGGACTGTGCTGCTTCACCGAATGGTGGAATCTACTGGTTCTGATAATGAAGCAGCGAAAGTAGCGCCCTCTATGACCAAATCGACTGCACCTGAGTCTCTCACCGTGGTCCACGTCATAAATGGGCTATAAAGCCAGTTCATTGAAGGAAAGCTGGTATTTGTTCGGAGCAGTCCAGGCAGCCGATGGGTCGCACAGAAACTAATCGTCTCTTCTGTATCTGCAGCACAACGGTATCTACCTGTACTGGTTCAGCGCATCGGTGTTGACTGCAATCTGGGCTCTTCAAGGACTGTGCTGCTTCGTCGAGCGGTGGAACCTGCTAGTTCTGATAACGGAGTAGCGAAAGTAATGCCCTCTATAACCAAATCGACTGCGCCTGCATATCTCACCGTGGTCGATGTAATGGATGTCCTATAGAGTCAGTTCATAGAAAAAAAGCCGGCATTTGTTCGGAGCAGTCCAGGCAGCTGCTGGGTTGCACAGAAACTAATTGTCTCTTTTGTATCTGCAGGTCCATACAAGTTACATTTGTTCACGCCCAGAACCTAAGAATTAGTGTTGCTTGGACTGCTCCGCGAGTGCTTTGATTGTGCTGCGAGAGATATGAGTAGCAAAGCTCTGACCGTCAAGGAACTTCACTTAGCATTAGCGTAGTTGAGCGCTCGATTTGATGCTGACTTGATGACCAATTGAAGGAAGATTTCAGGACAATAATTGAAGCAGAGATACAACCGATAAGACAGTCGATTGAGCATAAGCATGCCGCACTAAAAAAAAGAGCTGTCTAAACTAATTGAAAAAGAACTCAAACCCATCGAAGAAGCAATGGAATTCATTAACAAGCAATTTGAGGAATTTAAATCGGAAATTGGCGACTTGAAAAATGAAATTGCAACTGTCAGAAAGGAGAACAAGGTAATCGGGACCGATTTCAGCAGGCTCACAGCTGAGCTAAGCGAGACAAAGAAAGAGCTAACAGAGCTACAACAGTACAGCCGCCGTAACAATGTGGAAATTAAAGGTGTCCCCGTGCAAAACAAAGAGAACCTTGCAGCAGTAATCAAGACCATATAAACCCATCTAAAAGTGAATACAAATGAATCTGATCACGAGGTGGTACATCGTGTACGAACCAGGGAAAAGTTGCAATCTAACATCATTTCCAAGTTCACCTCACGCATCCGCTGAGATCAGTTCATGAACGCCATGAAGAAACAGACTGACCACTTCAGTGCTAGGCTTCGAAGGTTCTACCCTGCTCTATATTAATGACCACCTATGTCCAGCCAATAAAATACTGCTCGGCAAGGCAATAAAGGCAAAACGTGAAAATAATAGGAAGTTCACTTGGGTATCCGGTGGAAAAGTTCTCATGAGAAAGACAGAAAATTCCCGAGTATTGCACATAACATGCGAAGAAGATCTATCCCAAACTATCTGAGCAATGTTGCTTGATTTTTCAAGAATTGACCAAGCTTGGCATGAGTTCTATAACTAATTTTCTATAACTATAACTAATTTGTTGTTCATTGCAAGATTCGAAGTGTGCTAAAAAACTTAGACCAATCTTGTGCTCATCTGTCGCGTCACTCATTTAC